TGACCTGGTATAGACCTGTGACCTGGTATAGACCTGTGACCTGGTATACACCTGTGACCTACTATTGACCTGTGACCTGGTATAGACCTGTGACCTGTTATAGACCTGTGACCTGGTATAGACCTGTGACCTGTTATAGACCTGTGACCTGGTATAGACCTGTGACCTGGTATAGACCTGTGACCTGGTATAGCCCTTTGACCTGTTATTGACCTGACTTCATAGAGTTTATTTTGTTTAATAAATCTGTTCCAACATCAAAGCTTGAGGGTCTCCCATGGTCCTCCGAAGGTCTTTTGTGGACCTCTGAAGGTCTCCTTTGGACCCATGTACGTTTCCTGTGGACCTCTGAAGGTCTCCTGTGGACGTCTGAAGGTCTCATGTGGACCTCTGAAGGTCTCTTGTGGACGTCTGAAGGTCTCATGTGGACCTCTGAAGGTCTCCTGTGGTATCTGGTTCTAATCCATCAGCAGTAGATCTTCAAGGCTTAGAAGCTGTGAGGTGGAGCCTTCATAGATAGACTTGTTGGTCCAGAACAAGCACCGGTGCTTGACTGAACTGAGATTTGGAGAATTTGGAGGCACTTTAGAGTGACGGGGGAACATGGTCAGGAACATTTCCCTGCTCATGTCAGATCTTTGCAAACATCAAAACCGTCTTGTATAAAAAAAAAAAATCTTTGTAGAAAGTGACCTCATGATGTCAAATCTTCTGATTACTGTTTTTCTGTTTTGTGTTACTCTAAACTTTAAACGTTCATCCTCAGATGGTCCATGAGGCAGAAGAAGACATCTAAATGTCATCATTTTAAACTTGTTACAACTTTGCAGAGTTTAGTTTTAAAGATCTCAGCATGATCAGGAGAAAACTGATGGAAACTGGAAAATAAAAGTTGAGTGGACTCACGGTCCTGCGGGTGCAGTTTGATGCGGTACGACGTGGCCGCTCGGTGAGGACTCCACTTGATGCAGAACTTGTCGTGGCCGATGTCGTAGGTCTCGATGTCGGTCACGTTCAGGTAAACTGGAGTGATTACACACATCAGAGAAGCCTTTAATGAAGCACACCTGTCATTCTGAATGCCACGAGTCTGCCGAGTGGAGCGTACGTGTGGTCCCCTCCCCAATGAGCGGCGCACTGATGCCTGTGGTGTACTGAGCCAGGACTTTGACGTCGTAGGTGGTTCCAGGCTGCAGGTTGGTGGGCGTGAATGAGCTAACGTCACCAACAAAAAGGCTGATTGGCTGATCCTTGCCTGGAAAGACCAACACAAACTCAGAAAGACGTGCATTTCTTTGGGCTGACGGTGCCTGCGTCAGTGAGACCCTCACCTTTAGGGGAGTAGATGAGTCTGTAGCCCTGAACCGGAGAAGAGACCGGTTCCCAGGACACCCTGAACCTGGTGTACCACTCGTCTGACACCCGCAGGTTTCTGGGGCTCAACATGCCGACTGCGACAGAAAGGAGACACATCAACATCATCTGGACACATTGTTCTCTGTTTCTGAATCTGTGGGACCGTTGATCTGCGCTTTTTCCACCAGTCAGGTTTTCAGCCTGATGGTGAACATAAACTGGATGAAGTTTCAATCGATTCTCTAAAACGATTCTCTAAAACATTTCTCTAAAATGGAAACATTTCATAGAATCGTTCTATATAAAATGAAAAACCCAGTAAAGAAACTGAAAGTTAAACTGGGTTTCTTTTTCAGAAACAGATCCTGTCTAACTCTGAATGTTAGGAAACGCCTTGTATCTGTGACTTTCCTTCCCTCCATTGATTACGGTGACATTATTTACATGAACGCTCCTACAAGAACCCTGCAGATGTTGGATGCTGCAGATGTTGGATGCTGCAGATGTTGGATGCTGCAGATGTTGGATGCTGTCTATCATGGTGCACTAAGATTCATAACTGGCTGTAACTACCGTACCCACCACTGCACCCAGTATTCACTGGTTAATTGGTCACCATTAACTTCACGCAGACTCTCCCACTGGTACATTTTCATCTTTAAATCACTTCCTGGTCTGCTGCCTTCATACATCTCCTCCTACATGTCTCTGTGTGAGTGCAGCTACAGCGTGCGCTCTCAGGACATCATTACCTGCAGTGTTCCCTCAGTGAGGACTGAACTAGACAAAAGGACCTTCTCCTACTCCGCTCCTGTTTCCTGGAATATCTTGTAAAAAGATCTGAAGCTCTCGACCTTTGACCTCTCTAAGTGGCTTCAAACATCTGGTAAATTCCTGCAGATGTTCCTGTTTTTAGTTTTCTACATCGCCTTATAATCTACAGTGTAGATGTTGTTTTCATTTCGCTACTTTTCCTTTTGACTGTCCTTTTGGTTGCTATTTTGTTTTGATTTGTAAAAAAAATATTTAAATTTGTATGCCTCTTTTGTGACTGTCTATTGTTGTCATTGTTTTTCATTGTTGTCATCACTCTTTGTTAAGAAATCAGGTCTCTCTTGTAAATGAGCCCCGGAGGCTCAATGGGACTAACCTGTAGAAATAAAGGTTGAATGAATGAAAAAGTTACTTGTCATTCCCCGATCTGTTACAGAAGCACGATCCATAGTGAACTTCCAGGTCACACAGATCACCGTTGTTTATGAATAAAAAACTGTCTACATTTACTTAGAAAAGTACGTGCTCTATCTGCACCGATCTTCAGGAAGCTAATTTACACCACTCGTATTTCCGTTACAATTCACTGGTTAAGCTGCGACGCAATAGAGCTGACCCCCCCCCCCCCCCCCCCCCCCCCCCCCCCCCCCCCCCCCCCCCCAGCCTGGGCTGAGTGAGAAAAACCCTGCGAGATACAGAATGAATTATTTCCATGATGAAACAGCGCCGCTCAGTGGTGAAGCTGCAGATCATTTGAACCATGACGTAAATATGTCAATGATTTTAACGGAAATACGAGTGGCGTAAATTAGCAACATGAAGATCGGCGAAGATAGAGCACATACTTTTCTAATTAAATTAAGACGGTTCTTATTCATAAACGGAATTATACCAGTATATTTTCCTTAATCTATCATATTGAACGGCGATCTGTGCGACCCGGAAGTATTCTTTTAAGTGCATGAGCAAATGAGCAACGCTACGGATCAGCTTCCGTAACAGATCAGGGAATGACAGTTACCATTAAGTTAACAGGAAGTTTAACAAGGTGGTAACAGGAAGGAAACAGGAAGTTAACGTTAACAGGAAGTTTAACAAGGTGGTAACAGGAAGGAAACAGGAAGTTAATGTTAACAGGAAGTTTAACAAGGTGGTAACAGGAAGGAAATAGGAAGTTTAACAAGGTAGTAACAGGAAGGAAACAGGAAGTTAATGTTAAGTTAACAGGAAGTTTAACAAGGTAGTAACAGGAAGGAAACAGGAAGTTAATGTTAACAGGAAGTTTAACAAGGCAGTAACAGGAAGGAAACAGGAAGTTTAACAAGGCAGTAACGGGAAGGACACAGGAAGTTAACGTTAAGTTAGCAGGACATTAACAGCATGTTAACAGGAAGTTTAACAAGACAGAAACAGGAAGGAAACCGGAAGTTAACATTAAGTTAGCAGGAAGTTAACAGGAAGTTCAACAAGGCAGTAACAGGAAGTTTGACAGGGCGTTGACAGAATCACAGGTGTATTTGCAGCAGGTTCTGTAGTCTGCTGACCAATGGGACACCTGGATCAGTCCTCACCTGTGCGGCCGTTCCCGTTCAGAGACCCTCCGGGCCCCTCGGCATAAACGGCCTCCACGGTGATGTTGTACGGAGTGTCTGGGAACAGGTTCTGCAACATGGCGTTGTTTCTGTTACCTGGAACCACTGTCTGAAAACAACAACGGGAAAAGATTCAAGACTGAACATCCTGAAAATCTTTCAGGAGAACTTTGACCTCTGAGGTTTGTGTCTGAGGCGTACAGATAAAAATGATCACAGACGGTTATACTAGTGGATGAACCGCCTTGTCCAATTGAGGATAAGGCCAGCAGGGACTGACTTATGGAAGGTGCCATGTTGGATTTTTGTGTCCAGAGCTGCTTCAAGCCCTGCTTACTCAGGGGGAAGTGAGTTTTTGCCTCAGGTGGAGGACATTAAGTATCTGGGCATCTTGTCCTGAGTGATGGTAGGACAGAGGGATCCATGGATCAGGACATCATCCTCAGTAATGAGGACGTTGCTCTGGTTGATCGTGATGAAGAAAGAGTTGAGTCTAAAGACAAATTTCTGGATTTACTGGTCTGTCTACATACCAACCCTAACTGGTGGTCATGAGGTTTGGATCATAACTCAAAGAACCAGATCCTGGATTCAAGCAGCTGAAACGAGCTCCCTCTGTAGGGTGGGGGGTCTCAGCCTTAGAGTCAGGGGGATGAGCTCCATCATCTGGGAAGTGCTCAGAGTAGAGCTGCTGCTCTTCTGGATCTAAAGGAGTCAGTGGAGGAGGTTCATCTGATCAAGACACCTCCATCTGAAGGTTTTCTAGGCATGACCTACAGGGAGGAGACCACCGGGGCAGATCCAGAACTCTTTGTAAGGATTATAGATCCTCTCTGGAACACCTCAGGGTTGCATGGGAAGAGCTGGAGAGGGTCTCTGAGGAGATGGAAGTCTGGGTTCCTGCCCTGGACCTGCTGCCTCCACAACCCAACCACAGATCAGAGGTAGTAGACCCTGGAGATGAAGCTATTTTAGAAATTTGGGTCCTTTGTGGAGAAGCTACTTGCAGCTAATTTTGTACATTTATTTGTTGCGGTCATATTAAAGAAAGAGCTGCAGAGTGGAGCAGTGGCTGGAATTGGCACCTCACAGCATGAAGGTCACAGGTTTGTCTCCCGTCCTGGAGGGACTGAAACTATATTAAAGGAAAAAACTCAAAGTCAGTTTTTATTTGAGCAAAAAGTGATGGGGTCAGGTCCATCTGTAGGACTGGATCAGACCTCTTGAGTCCAGATGGAAACAGTTTGAGGCCGATTCTCAATGACTCAGGCTGAACGACTAACGAGCACAGAGAAGCACAGCTGGGTCGTCTCGGTCCTCCACCGCCGCTCCAAATGGTTCTTCACAACTATTAATAACATCATTATGAGCCCAGTTATAGCGTTAGAGTAAACCAAGGCGGTGCCTAACGGCTGATTCATGAGCCGAAGCAGGCGAGGGAAACCTGGGACCTGAGCTCACTGCATAGTTTGAACTGAACATCAGCACAGCTTACCCAGAACGTTTATCCAAAACAACAATTACTCCTCATTACTGATGAAACATGGAGCGAATAAACAGGAAGGAGATTTATCGAGCTCAGGAATTTATTACACAAAAACACAGATTTTAATGTTTAACTTCACAAATCCACAGAAGCCCATTTCTGCCAAAAAAGAAAAAAGAAAACTTCATGTTTTGTGTCCTAATTATCAGTTTCAATAAATCCAGGATATGGAATGAGTTTAAAACTACACCTGACTTTAAAAATTATATTTATGACACATCTTAAACAACCTCAGCTGTTCAAACAAAGTGACCGACTTGTCCAGTTTGAGCTCACAATCCTGACAAGCATCACTGTAAGGTCCTCCTCCAGCAGCAGTTTTTGAGTTGTTGACAGTAATTACTGTTATTGTAAAAATGAACTCACAAACTCAGTGATGGGGTCTCCTGTCATGGGAGCATAGGAGATCTTGTACTGCCTGACGGGGCCCTCGGCGTGGTCCCAGCCGATGGTCAGGGAGCTGGTGGTGGCATCAAACACCCGCAGGTTCCTGGGGCCGGCACGAGGCACTGCAACACAAAAACCCACCAAAAATTATCACTGCCAAGAGTTTTCATCCTGTTTAAGATGACAATTAAAATCTGTAAAAATATGAGGTTCCACAGGGACGTGTTCTCGGTACCAATACTTTTTAATTTACTGCTGTATATAACAATACATGAAAGTCTGAAGTATGTTCCTCTGCAGAACAATAAAATACAATTCATTCATTTATAAAGTTTTTTAACAAAATGTTTTGATTAGTTTTTTTATTTAAAAAATATATAAACAAAGAACAACATAGAACCCCCCACCCCATCCCTCCCACACTGGATCAGTCAAACATATATTACATAAACAAATTAAACAGGTACAGACATATTTTTAACATACAACATAAAAGGCTGCCACGCATCCTAAAATCTTTTTACAGAGCCCTTCATTGTATGTCTTATTTTTTCCAAGTAGATATGATACATCACCTCCCTTAAACAATGTACATATGCTGGGGGGTGTGGGTCCTTCCAATTGCACAAAATTAGCCTCCTGGACACAAGGAAGCCAAAGTCAATCACATCCTTCTCACTCTTACTGAAGGACATATCCACAGGGACCACCTCGAACAGTGAAATGAATGGTGATAGGTGAATAGTTTTGTCACCTACTCCAGAGAAGGTGTCAAAAATAGATTGCCAAAAGATCTGCAGTTTGGGACAGGTCTAGAAAGTATGCAGGAGTGTAGCTGGAGTTTGTTTGCAACGACTGCATGCTGGGTCCAGATCGGCCTTGATCTTGGACAGCTTGTTTGGTCCAGTGCAGCCTGTGCACCACCTTGAACTGGATTACAGCATGTCTCAGACAGATTGAAGACGAGTTAATGTTGTTAATGATCCTTCTCCAGATTGAGTCTGATATGGGTTCCTCCAAGTTCACTTCCCATTTCAGCTTAAGGGAGTCCAAACTGAACTCATGGTATGAGCTGAACAGTGTATACATTTTACTAAGGGTCCCCTTAGAATCAGACCTGCACTCGAAAATCTTAGCCACAAAATGTTTAGAGGGGTACAAAGGAAACCAGTCAGAGTTAGATCTCACAAAATGTCTCAGCTGTAAATATCTAAAAACTGCGACTTGTGAATATAAAACTTCTGTACCAGCTGCTCAAAAGAGGCCAATCTACCATCAACATAGAGATCGCACAGTGAATGAACTCCCCTCAAGACCCAGGTGACTAAAGCTGTATCAGCTACTGAGTGAGTAAACATATAATTATTTGACACAGGAGCCAAAAACAATAACACTGTAGAGTTAAATGCCCTCCTGAACTGGTTCCAAATCTTAACTGCCCAGATCACAATTGGGTTAGAAGTATTAAGCTGATATTGATTGTTTAAAGGGCAGCTGAGAGCAGAGTAATGCAGAGAGGGAGCTGGACCTGATTGAGGCCCTTTCCAAGGCCACCCAATGGGGAGAAGGGGTGTCCTTACCCATCCAGAGTAAAAGAGCTCTAATATTAGCTGCCCAATAATAGTGCTCATTCAATTTTCACTACTGTTTACATTTGCACTACTGTTCATATTCAAACTACTGTTCATATTCAAACTACTGTTCATATTCATACTAGTGTTCATATTCATACTAGTGTTCATATTCAAACTACTGTTCATATTCATACTAGTGTTCATATATATATATTTTTTCCTCCCAGGCTCTCATCGAGGTGGCAGCTTCTGTTTCTCCTCCCCCGTTTTCCTTCTTCCTGCTCTGCTCTCTGTCTGTCTGAAGCACCTGGGTCTCATCTCCCGAACATAAATTAAGAAGATTATGGATTTGGTATTGTGGGCGTTCAACTCTATTGATAAGATTTTTTCATCAAAGCGACAAGGTCCTGGGGAACCGGCGTGTCCAGCTGAGACTCACGCTGTGGGGTACGTCATGGATTCTTGGGGAGTGTGGCAATTGATGTGCATTACAGTCCTGTCTCAGGAGGATGTTGAAGACGTTTACATATTTGGATTTATGATAGCAGAGACTCTGGTTTTTGGCATCGGCGGGGCTCTGTTTTATCGACTTTTGAATAAGACAGCGGGAGCAGTTTTGGCCATGAAAAAGCTTCCAAGTCAGTGTGAAGGTCTGGTCCTCGCTGTGGGAACTTTAAATCGTCTGGTTTACAAGCTTAACCGTAAGGTGGAGGCGATTGAGGATCGCAGACCACCTGCGGCTTCTGGGACTCGTCAGCGTGGTGGGTTCAACCTTGAAGGAGACTCATAGCATGGATCAGTGAAATGAAATTCCACAATTAGGCTTTTTCGGAACCAGAACGCCCAGATGGACTCAAGGCTGAAGAAAAAAAATCTGTCTGCCTGAAGAAAAACAAAAATTAAGCTTATCTAATCTGACTCCCAATGGCCTCGGAGACAGGCTGACTATCAAAATTTGCCTGGGACATGAGTACCCAAGGACAAAAGCTTGATCTATTGCCCCCCACACCAAGAACTTTCTGTGCAAGCTTATCAGAACTGCTGGCAGAAAAAAGCATCCTCAGAAACTGTGGCTGATCTGAATAAAAAGCTCATAGACAAATCTCAACACCTTAATGTCAAATGCAAATGTAATCATGTTTTAATTGTGCTGCTGGTAGAGTTTTTTGATGTCTCAAATCGTGTCCTGATGGACAAGATGTGAAAGATCTTTTTTTGTAATACCACTATCTACCCTCATGTTTCTCCGCCTTTTCCTGTCTAAGATTATTATCTGATAAGGATAAAATGGCCGCGCTCTACTGTAAGTTGCAGCTTCGTGCACTCCGCCCATCTTTCGGACGACTGTACGTACATATTCGCGTTGTACCTCGGTGCAATTCCAATAAAGTTTATTCTGATTCTGATATTCATACTACTGTTAATATTCATACTACTGTTAATATTCAAACTACTGTTCATATTCATACTACTGTTTATATTCATACTACTGTTTATATTCATACTACTGTTTATATTCATACTACTGTTTATATTCATACTACTGTTAATATTCATACTACTGTTCATATTCATACTACTGTTTATATTCATACTACTGTTAATATTCATACTACTGTTCATATTCACACTACTGTTTATATTTGCACTACTGTTTATATTCACACTACTGTTTATATTCATACTACTGTTCATATTCACACTACTGTTTATATTTGTAGGGAACTAAGCCTCAGGTCAAAAAGCCTTCCTGGAACAGGAACTGTTATTTCATTGATTTGAGTCCAGAAATACAAATTAAGCTCATCCAGAGACTTTCTAAGTGTCCTGCACTAATCAATTGAAAGAACACTCTCTTTCATATTATCATTACTATTTTACAAATGTCTTGATAATCAAAAGTGTGTTTAGTTCAAACCATTTTAAATGTTGAAGTGAACTACTCACTTTAAATCAACTGTGAAACAGTATAAATGATTTTTAATCCTCATTCAAAGTAGAAATCAAGTTAATGTCTGTTACAAGAGTAATTATGCATTTTTTGATCTTCTGTCTGAAATGAGCAAGTTGTGATATCGGTCAAAAGTGAAGGAACGGTCAAAAACATGTTTATTGGAACGAAATGTCATGTTTATCTCTATCAGACAGATAGAAGGAAAACGGCTCCTAAAAGTCTCTCATTTCGCCATAACATTTCTCTATCTGTTCTTAAAACATCCCACTGTTTTTCTGACTTGTAATAACCCTCTTACGTCACTAAGACCACACCCCTGTTGGTTCTTTCAACCAATCAGGAAGTTCTCAGAGGAACCGGAAGTGACTTCTTTAAAAGGGTCAACACTTCCTAGTTCCAAGCAGAACAAAGTTCCGAGCAGAACAAGAGTTCCAAGCTGAACAATGTTCCAGAGAGAACCAGAGTTCCAGGGAGAACCTCGAACGAGAAGTTCAGAAGAACAGAAGTTCGAGCAATTTCTAATGGGATGACCAGAGTCCGTCGATGCCACGACGTCTCGCTGTGGCTACTTGACGAACGCTCTGAACAATGAAGAAGTCTGTTCTGTGATGATCTCACGACTCCTGAGGACACAGCTGTTCTTATGGAGACGCTGAAAGGTGGCTTGAAGTGGAACTTTACGCCGGAACTGAAATATCTTCAGAAAGGTAAAAGAGTCGATCTTCAACTACCAGTGTACCGTGGATTAAGCTGCGCTTCAAGGGAGCGTGTCGTTCTGGTCTACAGACCTACATCTTCATCCATCTTTTCCTCTCCATTTAAACTCCTTCATTTCCCATCTTTAAAACGCTTCTATCTGCCAGTAATTAATCCAGATATTTTCAGAAATGTCTGTTGTATTTCAGTTGCAAGTGAAAATCATGGCCATATGATTTTCTCATTGTAAAGCTCATTAATTAAGCCGTGTTATTGTAATCAATCTGCCAATTATTGTAAATGTGTGATGTGTTTAAATCGTTTTTTATTAAACGGCTCACTGTTGTTGGCGAGTCAGAAATTAAAACACGTTTCCGTCTATATTTAATCATTCAAGGCACGAGAGTACTCAGTCCAGAAAAATGAAAGAATCCGTTTAAATTATGGATAATATCAGACACAGGTATTATGTTCATTACATATTCATACTACTGTTTATATTCATATTACTGTTAATATTCATACTACTGTTAATATTCATACTACTGTTCATATTCAAACTACTGTTTATATTCATACTACTGTTAATATTCATACTACTGTTAATATTCAAACTACTGTTAATATTCATACTACTGTTAATATTCATACTACTGTTCATATTCATACTACTGTTAATATTCATACTACTGTTCATATTCAAACTACTGTTTATATTCATACTACTGTTTATATTCATACTACTGTTTATATTCATACTACTGTTAATATTCATACTGCTGTTTACATTTGCACTACTGTTTATATTCACACTGCTGCTTATATTACACTACCGTTGACATATATATATATATATATATATATATATATATATATATATATATATATATATATTACTAGCCTTATTGCATATGTCACTTTACCTACACCAATATCAAGGACTTCATACATACATTGTGTACATTCACTTCATATGCTGCTTTGCCACTTACTACAAGTGTCAATGTCAGGACCTTCACTTCATTTCATTTTATTTTATAGATATACCTAAAAAATATTATACCGTTATAGTACAATTTAAGACCGTTTCATACTTTTATTATTTTATTTTATGCTTATGTTTATTAAATGTTGTAATGTTAAATGGTTTTGTTGCACCGGGGTCTGAGAGTAATGTAATTTCAATCCTGTGTATGTCCTGTACATATTGCAGTTTTTGACAATAAAGTGACTTTGACTTTTTTGACTTTGAGATTCTATCAACTGAAAATTCACACATTAGTGCTTACCTGGAGAGCAACAGTCCAACCAACGGAGCTCCCATCTGCCCGTATGTGATATAAGTAAATAAAATGTTTTACGTACCGCCACCGGAGGAACACAGCCAACAATGTGAATCCGGAACAGTTTTAATAAAAGTTATTGATTAAAAAAGGCAGATTCTGTAGCTTATTTGGATTATTCTGACATGTTTACAAATTTGACACTGAACAACATACACAACATTACTCTGTTTGTGCCGGGGGACTGGATCTTTGGGATGAACCAGTTTTTAATGTATTTTGGGGTTTAAAAGCCACTGGGACGTTATGTTTAGAAAATAAACGTCTCAGTTTCTCTGATACCCCCTCAACATATGGAATGACCACTGGTCTGGGTCTGGGTTCCTCCTTTTCACCTGATGGCTGACTGGAGTCCAGTTTGGGTTTCTTCTTTCAGGAAGGCCCAGTTAGGATATCCACATTGCTCTAGAGCCTGTCTTGTGTAGGATTTCTCCTTCTGCCTGGCTCCTGAGCTAGTGGGGACGCTGTCTGCTCTGTGGTACAGAGTCCTGATGACTCCTAACTTGTGCTCCAAAGGGTGATGGGAGTCAAACTGCAAATACTGGTCTGTGTGGGTGGGTTTGTGGTACACCTCAGTTTGCAAATGTCCTCTATCAGAGACTGAGACCTCACAGTCCAAGAAAGCCAACCTGCCATTTTTTACATCTTCTCGTGTGAACTTGATGTATTTATCCACAGAGTTGATGTGGTCAGTAAAATGTTGGACTTCCTGAGATTTGATTTTAACCCAGGTGTCGTCAACATACCTGAACCAATGACTTGGTGGTGTCCCTGAAAAGGACGTCAAGGCTCTCTTTTCTACCTCCTCCATGTACAGGTTGGCAACAATAGGAGAAACTGGAGACCCCATAGCACACCCATGTTTCTGCCTATAATATTGCTCCCCATATGTGAAGTAGGTTGACTGCAGGCACAGTTTCAAGAGTTGACACAGTTGTTCTGTGGAAAGTGTGGTCCTGCTGCTCAGAGTGGTGTCTGATTTTAATCTTAAACTGACCACCTCTACTGCATCATCAACAGGAATGCACGTAAAGAGTGATGTGACATCAAAAGAGACCATTGTTTCATCAGTCTCCATGATGACATCCCTCACCTTATCCACAAAGTCCATGGTGTTCTGTATGTGGTGTTCTGAGCTGCCAACTAAAGGGATGAGTACAGACGCCAGATATTTGGAAACATTGTAAGTGACAGAGTTAATCATGCTAACAATTGGTCTTAAAGGTACACCTTGTTTGTGGATTTTAGGTAAACCATACAGACTAGGTGTGGCCTCCCCTGGGTACAGTCTGTGGTACAGAAAACGGTCAATAGCCTTGTCCTGCTCCAAATTTTTCAGGCAATCTATTAACTTCTTCTTGTAACCACTTCCTGGATCTCTTTTCAGAGGTTCATAAGTGGT